TTCTGCATCCAGAATACGGGCAGAGAATTATCCAGACAGCAGTTGTCTGGTGATTGATTCAGCTGAAAAAGATGACTCAGGTGTTTACAGAATAATGCTGAAGAATGAAGCTGGAGAAGACTCAGCTCAAATCAATATCAAAGTAGTTGGTAAGTCAATGAAATGCAAGGCTTTTGTACGAAGTAGCACCAATGCTCTTTCCTATTTCAGCTTTTTCTAAAAGCATTGCAACTACAAACTCCTGTAATTCCTAACCAGCATGAAAATTGACCCAGTGACTTAGAGTTCTGCAAGAAAACACATTTTATTTTCAGTCATTTTAAAGAATGTTGCCTTAGCTTTTCAACAGCTCTGAGATAAAATAGGACTCTAAGTGATTTTTCCCAAATGAATTTCTTTCTAATTCAGCAGAGATTTCAGCCTGGAAACCTCAGCAACCTTATGTTGTGTGGACTTCAACTCCCAGAATTTCTGGCTGGAGAACTCTGGGAGTTGAAATCCATACATTTTTAAGTTGGTGAGTTGAAAAACACTGATTTAGATTATAACATTTGTAACATTTCATTAAACATTATTTGTTTAATGAAAATCTGATGTGAAATCCCAACCAAATATGTCTTAGATCCAATCTATTAAAATCAATGGGATTTAGCTTATTTGTGGTTAATTTAAATTCTGTAATGTAAATGACTTGGATTTTTTTTTAAGTGAGTCTGGATGTTTGCTCCAATATAACTATAAGTAATTTTATCTGAGATGAACAAAATATTTGCTTTTCCAGTAAAACTAACAACTTAAAACTTCTAATTGCAACAGATATTCCTGATCCCCCAGAGGCACCCATTGTGATTGAGATAGGAGAAGACTGGTGTATTATGACCTGGGAACCTCCAGCCTATGATGGCGGATCTCCTCTTTTAGGTATGTCGACTGCTCAGTGAAACATTAAAGTGTTTTAATGTTTTTGTAGAATTATTTGGTGGCTCTTTGAAATGGAAGTACACACTATTCATAAGCAGAAGGGTTTCAGCTGAGAGTTTTTGCTCAAGGAAATGTGTAAGTTATTCTTATTATTTAGATAGCATGGTGGTGACCAAGTGAAATGGGTCTTCCAAAAGCTCGGAAGACTAAAACTCTGGTCCCAGTGATGGACTCAGGTTAGATCCTGAAATAGGTCATCTCTATAACAGTTGCACTTGCTCTTTTTAGAAATTCTGAGCCATCAACTGATGGCTTTATATTTTTGCATATATTTATTTAGGATACTATATTGAAAGAAAAAAGAAGCAAAGCTCCAGATGGATGAGATTAAATTTTGATCTTATTAAAGAAACAACTTTTGAGCCCAAAAAGATGATTGAGGGAGTTGCTTATGAGGTGCGTGTGTTTGCAGTTAATGCTATTGGGACTTCCAAACCGAGCATGCCGTCAAAACCTTTTGTACCTCTAGGTAAGTAAATCATATCTATGTATTTAATTATTAAATGATTTTATTGCAATAGAGTACTGTAGCACCCTGGAAATTAATTAAAAATACAGGAGATATTCATTGACGTAACATCCAGGAAGAAAGACAGCTGATTGAATTGAGTTTCGAAGAAGACTTCAGAATTCTGTTGAACTAGGAAGCAGGAAAATGAATTAATCTTTCTCACCTGAAGTTTTAGTCATGATTTAATATTGGCTGCAAATTCATTATTATTTTTTTAATTAACACATACTGTATGTTTCATCAGAAAGTAGTATAGAAGTGTGTAGGATCATATGTTCATTGTTCCTCAACCTCAGAAACTTTAACTTGCATGGACTTCATTTCCCAGAATTCCTGGCTAAGAAATTCTAGGAGTTGAAGTCCACACATCTTAAAGCAGGGGTCTTCAAACTTGGCCCTTTTATGACTTGTGGACTTCAACTCCTAGAATTCCTCAGCCAGGGGCAAGTTTGAAGACCTCTGTCTTAAAGTCATCCAGGTTTAAAAAAATAGTCTAGCCTCCTGCATGCTTCTCAATAGTACTCTGTTTACAATTCCTTGGGGTAAAAGTTGTTCCTGTGCTAACTTTTGTATTATATTCCTCATCTTTATTTTAACAGTCATCCCCATTCTAATCCTTATTCCATTCACGCTGCCATTTCATTCCCCCTATCTGTGCTTTGTTGATTTTTCAGATGATATTTCTTTTGAAAAATCAGATTTTTCAGTTGTTTATGTTAAGGACTGTAGAAGATGAGGTCAACAGTTCTAAATATCATCTATTCTAATGAAAACAACAAAAGCATACAAATAAGAAGGTGGTGTTATCTGTATTTTCCTAATGCAAAAATTATTTAGATTAGTAATGGGAAAGTCTTTAATGTGCTTGTTAATTTTTACGGTGCTGTAAGATTCTTTGCTAACCAATTTAACAACCATGAAAAGTGTTTAGTGACCTACATGATATTATGTATATTTTGTCTGGCTAATGTCAATATTCTCTTTTGTTGTTTTTAGCTGTCACAAGTCCTCCTACTTGTCTGGTGGTTGACTCTGTCACTGATACTACAGTTACCATGAAGTGGCGACCACCAGATCAGATTGGAGCTGCAGGTTTAGATGGCTATGTTATAGAATATTGCTTTGAAGGAAGTAAGTCCCAATCATGTTTTATGCAAAGATGATACATATCTGTTTTTCCCATTCAGCAACAACTTTGCTTTTACTTATATCTGTACGTAAATGTATATAAAATATAAAGATTCTCCAAAGTAAACTAAAAAGGCTCCTTCAAAATTTGTGTTGAATCCAACATAGAAGTTCTTAAGTAATTAGTAAGCTATGTTCTGTTCTATACAGCTTCTCAACTATTGAATCAGTGAAAACATCTGACTGTGTATGATTTGTGCCACTGATTATACTAAAGATAACAATGTTGGATTTTTATTAACGTCAGTGTACTGACCAAATTGTAACTTCCAAATTGTTCTCAAATATCTCCCAAACTCTTAGTCTAAGTAGAAAAGATACTGATCTGAAGTAAAGACCAATAATCAGTTAAAAATTTTAAGGAAATAGGGCAGGAATAGAATGGAATACAAACACGTTGTATTTGATTATTATTATTATTGCTGCTGTTGCTTCTACTTTTATGGAACAGCTCAGTAATAATTCAGAAATATCAGGCTCCATAAATCTGATGTTAACTGATTTATGGGGGCCACTAGCATATACAATTCATGATTCATAAAAATCTGGCAGATGGTTTGGGAAATTTTCTTTCCAAAGCAAGTATATACAGTAAACTGCAGAAAAATGGAGAACACAGCTGGAACATAGCTAATAGCTTCCAGTTTATATTTTACCCTCCTTAACCAATGATTTATCATTTCTTCCTAGCAAATATTTAAAAGTAAGCAGCCTTGATCTCTATCTTTTGCTTTTTCTTGTCAACATGTGTCTGCTGAACAAAGTATTTCAGGCAATTTTAAGCCACTTATTTGGTATGTGTCTGCTTTAGAGCACAGCTGTAAGAATTTTTATGCTATAAAAGTAAATGTTGTTTTGCTAATTATTATAGCTCAGCAGAAATAGTTTTTCCAGACCTGGTCTTGAAAAAGAGAAAGTATCATTTAGGTTCATTGGCTAAACAAAAGATTTCTCTCCTATTGGAATTTAAATTTCTTCCCATATTGCTAGCCATACTCATATGGGATTGATTTTAAAAAATAGAAATTACATTTTAAAAAAGCAAGTAACATTTTAGTAAGCTAACTAAATATATCAAGAAACAAAAGAGCTTGAACACTGTTGTTTCACAAGAGGGAAAAAGCACATCCACAGATATCGTAAGAGACTTCTTGAGAATGGCTCGTTGCTTGGGAAAAGAAAATTTGGGTGAGCATTTTCAAGCTAGGGTTGTTTCCTGGCAACTATCTGGACAGGTTCCTGTAATTTTCTTGGCAAATTGTTTTGGAAGTGGTTTTTCACTGCCTCCTTCCGCAGGCTGAGAGAGTAACTGGCCCAAGATCAACCCAATATTATCAATTTTTTTATTAAGTGTATATCCTTCATTTCCTTGTGGTTTTTTTAATCATCGTAAAGTAGTGATATATAACCAGTGGCAAATATTCTGGCATGCGTGCTTTAGCCACTATTCAGTTCTCAGAGAACAACTACCAAAAAAAATCAAACACATAATAATAACAGTCTTTTTTCAGATTTCTGAGTTCAAAATGTCAAACCGTCTTGTGAAACTGTTGAACAGAACAAGCCCTTCACTTTCTTAATTGGAATAAGTTTAAAGTGTTAAGGACATATCTCAAACATAGATTGCATGTGCTATTTTGACATGACCCACCTTGGATAAAATACAATAGTGATATATTTTACAAACAAATGTGGCATACAGTCTGTATGTTCTATTTACCCTTTGCATATCTGGATAGAAATTATACATGTTACACATATACTGTCTGTGTATATGCATGCATGCAAATACACAGACACACACAAAAAATAATGTTACTCATGTATATATTTTAATATTTTTAGACAGTTAAATAATACTTTTTGCTTACTTTGTTATATCTCTTCCTATGCATTGTTTCTTTTACTTGTTTGTTTTTAGTATCTGGATTTCTCTATTCTTCATCTTCTTTCCTGCAGTACTTTTCTTTCCACTAATGTCTCTGTAAAACTTAATCTCTTACTTGGATCTTCAACAATCTTTTTCTTTAACTGTCAATCTTTCAGCTCCATTACTTCAGTTCTACCTTTTGTTGCTTATACTTATTTATTCTATCAACCAATCTCTCTTTTCTCTGCTTTTCTCTCTTGCTTGCCTGTTACCCTCAAATGGGGTATTAAAGTAGAGCCACTTTAACCAAAGGCAAATTTTGTTTTTAAAAAAAAATCTTTTCAAATATACAAAACCAACCTTAGAAGAATAGACAAACATCATGACTGTTTAAAAGTTAATAATGTATACTCTTTCATCGGAAACAGTACTATATTCTAAATACACCTATGCAAATAGCCTCAAAGGATCAAACAACAATATTTACATTACAAGAATGGAACGGAAAGTTTTTAAGAACTGAAAATAAAGGAGCAAACTTACTCTTTTCTCCTGTTTTCTGAGTTTTTGTCACAGACTGACAATAATGAAAAATAGATGAAGTAAAAATAAACTTATTTTTATAAATTTAGAGGTAGATATTGCTCAGAAGAGTTCTTCAGCTAGTGAAAAACATTATCATAAAGAGATCCCCATATTTGTCTTGCATTTATTTTTCAAATGTATCTGTATGATACTTCCTCTAATCCTATACTTGGTGGAAGAACTGGCACAGAATTATCTAACTCAATCCAAAAATTATGATATGGTAAAATATTGTTTTCTTATTTGCTACAAGGAATCACTAACAGAAGCAGGGATTCTGTTAAGTTCACTGTACCAATTCTGTGGTTGACAGATTCATGACATGCCCCAGAGCTAATTGTCCAGATCCCACATGTGATGATCGAAGGCACACCTATCCTCCATACATTCAGTGCAAGAGTCAGGATACAAAAGGCAGAGAGCTGCAGATGCCAACTGTTCAGCAAGAAGTGCTGACCCTGAGTTTTTGATAACCAATGAATTTCAGTGATAGTCTTGCCAGGCATCTTAAACCTTCATGTATATCTTTCTTCTTCTTCTTTCAGTTTCCTCTTGCTTATTCTGGAGTATGCTTTAATTTTCTCTTCTTCTTAAATCTCTTTTTCTGAATGGATGCCTCTTGCCTATCTCTTTTTTTTTCACATTTCTCAACTGTCTTGGTTTCTGATTCTGATTTTGTGGATGCTTGGCGATACCAGTCCAAAAGGCACTTCTGCCTATGACTGTAAATCCCCATCTGTGCTTTCCAAATCATTTAGGTTCCTCTGACTCTGGTTCAGAGCAAAATATTAGTGAGGACACAGCCGGGGGCCCAGGGCAGACGGAAGAGAAGACACCCAAACCTTGTGAGTGTTCAGCATCAAGCTTTTTCTTCCCTTCTTCTTCGCCTCTTTTCATTGTACTATTTTCCTTTGATCAGTGGTTGGAGTGGTTGATCACTGGGGGGAAAATACAAACAATGTTTTATCCTAAAGGAGTTACTGGTGTCCCTCATAAACTCGTACTTGATTTTACTGTCTCCTCAACTCTGTGATCATGACAAGCTCCTCTTCAAGGTGCAGTATGTGTGTCTCGGTACTTAATGATAGAGAGTACTAACTAACTATGTTATGCTTGTCTAAAAATTGATGTCTCTGAATTAATAACAAAAATGAATCCCAAATAAGGTCTACCTACAGAAATATGAAATGCTGACTTTCTGGAAGCAACCCATAATCTGGAGGGTAATGTATGCAAGATATTTAAATCTTCTTATTGAAAGAGTGTTAGAGATAGATGGATAGGCAGGTAGATTCCAATAAAATCAATGTAATTTGGAAAACCTGGGAAATGATCAAGGAGCTGAATTTTTACTTTAATACATACAACTGGTTTTCAGCTCATACCTGTGTAGTATCTCTATGACATGCATCATTATTATGGTTGGTCGTACCATCAGCCAGATATTTAGATTGGATATGGCATTTTTATCCACCTATGGAGTCCTTCCTTGCTATTATTATTTTGTAAGTGTAAAATGTAAAGTAAGAAAGATTGGATGAAACAGAATTTGAATGTAGACAGAACTTCTCCAGAAATTGGCTGGCAAATTCTAAAAATTGCGGTCTACACATCTAAAGTTGAGAAACTCTGGTTTAGAGTTTTAGATCCAATGGCCCAGGTACTAAAGCAAAAAAGATCTTTTATAGCATGAGCCATTTTTTCTGCAAGAAGATATTATTTAAACAGTATGGAATTCTACTTCTTTTTTATTTTACATAGAATGTACTTTTGGTCTCAAAAGAACTTTTTCAAATAACATTGCTAATTAAGTGTTTTTCTCTGTGTAAGAGATTTATGTTGCCTTTATATTTCTGTTGTCTATGTCAATAAAATTGGTTATCTATATTCAGATAAAAGCCAGGGTGTTGATTAGAAAAAAATAGATTATAAAGAAAAATGAAAGTCATGCTCTAATCATAGAATAAAAGATTTACACTTATATTTGCTAAAAAGAAAATAGGAAGTTTCTTCTTTAGATTTTTTTTCTTTTTTCTTTCTTTGTTCTAAATCTTAGTTTCTGTTAGCTTTTATATTTCATTTAAATTTTTTAATAAAGTTATTTTTTTAAAAAAAAATCACAGTTTGCATCATATAAAAATAAGCTGTTTATGAAATGTCCAGATAAATTAATTCAGTTTTCATGTAGTCTTCTATTTAACTGCTGATAATAACAAAATAACATTTGAAAATTGAGAAATATTTGCTTACTGGAAGCTCCCCAGATACATTTTTGGCAAGGGGTTACATTAATACACAGCATATTTATACTAGGATTAAATTAGATTACTTTGTTTGCTCAGAGTACTCAAAAATTTGCAGGATATTTTGGAATTTGGCATTTTGTTGAAAGAAAATGCTGTCAAAACAGGGGGGAGGGAAAGGCATGGCTTTCTGGCCAATCAGCAAAGCTATCTTTGTGAATATAACAAAGTACAATACAGATTGCAAATATATTGATATGGAAACCTCTTCTTTTTTTAAAAAAAATCAGGAAATCATTAAGATCCAGAATTTGGATAGATTCCATATGGAAATGCGTTCTTCCAACTTGACAATTGTTATGTTGCTTGCATATTAACATTTCTCTTAAAAAGACAGTACAATGACATTGATGGCCTGGCCTTCAGGATTACTGTATAATTCTTATTTCCTAACCATCTGTCTGTCTGTCTGTGCCTGTCTGTCTCTGTCTACTGATTCTTCTTTGCAGGTTAGTAACTTTTGTTTCTTCTACTTGCACCATTATAGAAGCTAATGATCTGGCCACAAAAGTGCAAAATTCCATAATGTATCCAGTGTATACTTTAAAAGCAATTTTTTTTAAAAAAATATTGAACCATATTCCATCTGTCTTTCTATGCATTTATTTCTCTTTGTCTTTCTGTTTTTATTCCACTTTAGCGGAAGAATGGATTGTGGCCAATAAAGATCTAACAGATAAAACAAAATTTACCATCCCTGATCTTCCAACTGGATCAAAAATCTTTGTCCGAGTAAAAGCAGTAAATGCTGCAGGTCCCAGTGAGCCCCGGCTGCATCCACAGCCTATTTTAGTTAAAGAAGTTATAGGTGAGGCTGATCATTTATTTGTAACTCATATAAGCATTGATAAAAGTTATTTTTCCTTGCCTAATAGCTCTCATCTCTCTTTGCCCCTTGTTTTGATTTCCAATGAAAAAAAATATTCTATATTTTGATCTTATGAACTGAGAAATAAATTCCTCTCTTTAAATTAAGAACCTCCGAAGATTCGTCTGCCGAGACACTTAAAGCAAACTTATATTCGAAGGGTTGGAGAAGCTGTGAATCTTGTTATTCCTTTCCACGTAAGGAATGCATGAGTGTTTTTATGTCTATATGCATATGGGTCTACATCTAATACTAGGTGCTGTGTGTAACTAATACAATTGCACTGATAACTTCTACATTTGAAGAAGTTCTAAGAAATTTCAATATTTGCTAAATGATAGCAAATGTTTAAAAATGTTCAAAATTTGGGAAAATATGGGAATTATAATACTGATCAATTTACTTGCAATACATTTACAAACATATTCAATTGTAATCAGAGTAACTTTAAATGCCTTTAATTCTCACTCAATGTCACAGAATACTCTAACTCTATACGTGAAAGAAAGAACCGTTTTTAATATATACATTAATTCTAGTAATCTTCCAAAAGGTAAATTTGACAAGACCATTGATTTATTTTTATTTTATTTATCAAAATTAGGAATTACCCATTTCACTCTCAGAGTGGGTGGTACACAGTTAAAAGCCTAAAAATCATATAAAAATGCACTATATTAGAAGAAGGAGCCAGGTAGAAACAAAATTAAAATAAGTTCAAAGGCAGGAGGGAGCCTTAAGGCACCAATCATTCCCAGGGTTGTGTGCTACTCTGGGACAGAGCAGATCTGCAAACTCTGTTGAAAGGCTAGGAGAGTGAGGATCCACTTTGCTTCCGGGGAGAGGATATTCCACAGGGCAGAAAAATGGCAGGAGGGTCCTTTTCCTGGACCCTCCAGCTGTGCTGATTGGAAAATTCTGGGTACTGAAGTCCACACAGCTTAAAGTTACCAAAATAGAGAAACACTATAACAGAGACACAAACTGAAGGGAGCCACTTTAGAAAAGGCTGATAGCTAAACATATTCCATGTATTTAATTCAATCAGCATTTCACTGATTTTAATTTGCAATTTTCTGCTATTCAAACATATTTAAAGAATATCTTAAAAGGAAATAATAATCAAGTACTATGGTATATCTCAAAGTTTACATGTCTGGGTTTTTTTTTCTGCCATAGGGAAGGCCAAGACCAAAAGTATCTTGGAAGAAAAATGGTACCCACGTAGACAAGAACCAAATTAATATCCGCAACAGTGAAAATGATTCTATCATCTTCATCCGAAAAGCGGAGAGGAGCCATTCTGGAAAATATGACATGAAGGTCAAAGTAGATAACCTCGTGGACAGAGCCACAATAGAGATTCAAATAGTTGGTACGTATTGAAATTCCACCCGAGTAGAAAATGGCCTATTAGCTATAATACTTTGACAACACTTTGGCCTTAACATAACATAAATGGAGGCTATTTTATATAGAGAGCAGGATAAAAAGGATAAGAAATTGTGGAGGGCTGAATTAAGTCCATGGTCTGGAGTCTTCCATGCCTCTTCTATAACTTAAGAGTTTGAAATAAGCTACATTATGATCCTTACCATATCTTTCTTATCTATAGCCCCTATAAACCAGAGTTATGACCAAAGCTACATTTCATCTGAATATGAAAGGCCTACAATCTAACAGTTACAACCCAGTCCTGCCTGTAACAAATATAGTTTCTGAGGGGAGAAGCCAAAGATGTCTTCAGGGGGCATAGAAGGACAAATTCTGACACATGTATAATGAGGTCATCACATAAGTGCTGCAATTTACATACATCATTATAAACTTTATTAAAGTCAGTATGTCTTGGTATCATTTATGTGACATCATCATGTGTTGTTACAGATGTCACTGGAAGATGGCTAACAGAATAACAGAGTTGGAAAGGACTTTGGAGATCTTCTAATCCAACCCCCTGCTCAAGGCAGGACACCCTATACCATAAGGAGAGAAGCAACCTAGAACTAAGGAGAAATTTCCTGACAGTTAGAACAATTAATCAGTGGAACAACCTGCCTGCAGAAGCTGTGAATGCTCCATCACTGGAAGTTTTTAAGAAGAGACTGGACAGCCATTTGTCCGAAATGGTATAGGGTTTCCTGCCTGAGCAGGGGGTTGGACTAGATGACCTCCAAGGTCCCTTCCAAGGTTGTTGTTACCCAACTAGAAATTCTAAACTTGGTACACTCTTTAAAAAAACATTAAAACCTGTCAAACTGAGACAAGCTGAAGAAATGACTTTTACCTGTACTGTTAATTTTACCTCTTCTGCAGATCGTCCAGGTCCACCCCAAGCAGTAAAAATTGCAGATGTCTGGGGAGAAAATGTTGCTTTGGAATGGACACCACCAAAAGATGATGGCAATGCCAACATTACTGGTTACACAATTCAAAAAGCAGACAAAAAGAGCATGGTAGGAAACTTTCTAACATGGCGAATCTCAGGATAAGCCACCTGGTTTGGTTCTCACATAGAAGGCTGTCTTGAAACACTGCTATTATTTGTGAAGCTAAATAACTTTTGAAAACTGGAACATTTAAATGTCTGTTAAACTGACACTGTTATAAAAGACCTTGTATGAACATGACAAATATCTTTGGTAGGTTGTCTTTGTTCTTAGTATTGGTGCTTTCAAATGAAGCCTCATTGTTAAAGCTATTATATTTGTTTCTTGTTTATATAAGTATAATGATTTGCATGTTTTGGGGGTGGGCGTTGAGTCAGACTTTAGGCTATTGCATTATATTGGCTGTTGGTATAGTTATTTATTTATAGGTGTTATTGCTATTCTTATAAATTCTCGTTAGCTGCCCAGAGTCATGCAATAATAAAGGAAGTCATATAAGACTTCTAAGTTCGTTAGTTGCTGATTTGAAAATAACTGAAAATAAAGAAAAAAAATAAAATTATTTATTAGGGATTTTTGAAAGGGTATTTTGCTTTGATGAAGCTGTAAACAAAGCACCAATCTCAATTGCTTTTTAATGGGGGGGCTGCTTATAAAATTACAGTCATTCTTCAGGCTGCAGCATAATACAGATAGATACTTCAAGAATGATGTCTTAGCCAGGCTACCCCTGAGCACCTAACTCTTAGGGTGTTACAAGCTCAACTTAATTTGTTCTATCTTTCAGGAATGGTACACTGTCATTGAACATTATCACCGGACCTGTGCTACTATTACTGAACTTGTAATCGGAAATGAGTATTTCTTCCGCATTTTCTCTGAAAATATGTGTGGCCTCAGTGAAGATGCAACAAGAACAACAGAAAGTGCTGTGATCGCTAAAGATGGTTAGCTAAAACTCTGAAATGAAAAAATATGACAATGGAAAAAAGCTAAAAGGGATATGGGAGGCTTATATTAATCTATTAATTATATTAAGCTGCCATAGTTTTAGCAACCACACCATTATGTAGCATTATGTTAATAGTAAACATTGAAAATACTTTATTCTTTTTTTAAAAAAAATATGGTACAGTTCAGAGAGAAAGGATAAAATAATGGAGACTCTGTTTTTGTTTGACCTGTAACATAAATACATTTGGAAGAGGAAAAAAAATATTCAAATTATATGGATTTTCTTTTCATACATCCCATCTGCTAAAAGATATGAATATTGTATCTAATTTGTAAAAATACTGATTGCAAGCAAGGTATCCCATGTGGATTTTGCATAACATTGTCCTCTAGGTTCTTAGTAGAATCTAATGTACCATAATTATCAATATCAAGCAAAAAACATTTGTGATAACTGACCTCTCTTGCAAAGAGGAACATGGTCAGGAAAGTGATTTAATTTTTTCCAGTAACAGCACTTTATCCAAAACTATTTAAGTACCTACCACTCTATTTTAAGCAAGATTTAAGGATCTTATGGACATTTAATTCATGCTGCCTATACAAGAGAAATTTTCAGCCTTGTGTTCACTCAGAATACAAATATACATTAAACACAGTGTTTTGCTACCTTGGAAGGAGAAGAGATTTGGTCAGTTCACATCTTAGGCAGAGATAATACATTTTAATCCTTTTCTTGAAAAATAATCTGCAGTGCACCAGGCTAAGGACACAGTGGTGGAAAACAGCTACTAATCAATCAGAATGTCAAATCAATTGAAAACATTTCCTTCCTCTAATCTTATTTATATTTTTTGAGATACTAGATGACATAGCTTCTTCCTTTTTAATTCTGCCCAACAGAATCAATGGGTAAGAAAGATGAAGAGGGTGTTTTTTTTTTAAAAAAAAGGAAAATTGTATAAATTATAGGCAGTTCAAAACTATGAGTCCACAAACATAAAATTTTCAAAGATCCATGTTCAATCTCTTTAGATTAGTGTTGCCTATAAATATCATGAAGAAAAGTTTGAACTGGTATTCTAGAACTTTTGAAGGAAGGAATCTTTGATGATGTATCTTTTATTGTGGATAGTTTATAAAGTAGGTTGCAGATAATGGAACCATATGAGCTATGCAGTATCTCTTCCTAGGATTATAAGTCAGCTGCAGAAGTTAGATTCATGACCCAGGAAATAAAATTGCTGTTTTTAGGAATTAGAAACACACACTACAGTTGCATGTCAGTGCTCTCACAATCCAGATCTAAAGTATTGCACAGTTCCATGATTTACCGATAAACTTTGTTCTTATATAGGTAGCAATTGGGGAAAATAACATGTTACAAAATTCTGTCTTTTAGCAATTCTTGAACTTCTTTTTTGCAGGTAAAGTCTACAAAAATCCAGTTTATGAAGAGTTCAATTTCACTGAATCACCAATGTTTACTCAGCCTTTAGTTAATACATATGCCATATCTGGCTATAATGCAACTTTGAACTGCAGCGTACGAGGAAATCCAAAGGTAAGATAATCATCTAGTAAGAATCACAAAAAATATACAAGAGGATTTAAAAAGATGTGGATAAGACAAATCAGGTATAATAGTATTTCTCAACCTTGGTAGTGTGAACATATGTAGACTTCAACTCCCAGAATTCCCAGCCTGCTATGTCCTCAACCAGGTAAGTAATCTTTCCTCCTAAAAACCTCCTCAACTATAGAAACTGAATATCACATATGAAAGTCCCACATGTGTGCAGAGCCCCATTAGAACCTATATGTGTAATGTAGAACAGCGGTTCCTAACCTTTCCAGTTTGGCAGCCCAGCTGGCAGGGGGGAGAGGGGAACTGGGCTGCATGAGTGGCAGGCCGGCATGCATGTGCACACATGCAGTGGTGGGCCAGAACATGCATGCAGTGCTTGTGTACAAACACACGCAGTCCTTATGCGCATACAGTCCTTGCATGAGTGGTGGGCTGGCATGCACCCAGGCATGCCCGCCAGTCTGCCATGAGGACAAGTTGAGCTTCTCATACGCATTCCAGCCAGCCACTCGCATGACCCAATTCCAAATAGACCACAGCCCGATAGTGGGCCATGGCCCGGGGGTTGGGAACCCCTGATTTAGAACCTATATGTATGGACTTCAATTCCCAGAATTCCCCAGACAACTATGCTGGCTGGGGAATTCTGGGGGTTGAAGTCTATATGTCTTCAAACTGCCAAGGTTGAAAAACACTGAGGTATAAGACTGCTATTTCTTCATCTCACTTCTTGAACATTATACATATAAGTTCTTATGGGGCTCTGCGTGGTGCAGAACTTTTATATGTGATGTTTAGTTTCTGCAGCTGAGGTTTTAGGAGGAAAGATTACTTGACTTGTTACCTTCCATTCTCTCCTTAATTCTTTTTCAACTATTAGGGTTCTGCATCATCTAGAACAATGGTTCTCAGCCTGTGGGTCGGGACTCCATTTGGGGTCAAATGACCATTTCGCGGGGGTCACCAAACCATGCTGTCCGCCATTTTTTCCCTTTTCCCTAGCTGTCCTACTCCCTCTTATTTGTGGCCACACCCACTTGGGGGTCACCACAACATGGGGAACTGCATTATGGGGTCACGGCATTAGAAAGGTTGAGAATCACTGATCTAGAACTTTCTATGTGCTAGCTGGGTTAAGGTTTAAGTTATTTTTTATTTAATATAGGGAAATGTACAGGTCTTTGACTGTAATAAATATTTTGAAATATTTTGAAATTTGAACTTTGGGGAAAAGGGAGAAGGATGTTCCTATGAGGTAACAAATGTCATTGTAACTCATGTCATGTCCCCTATTCTCAGTTGTAATAGCACCTAGAAAATCCATAGCTGTAAATGCAAAACTGATCACTCAAATATACTAGTTACCAGGTAAGCTGTGCAACTTCAAACAGTGACTAAACAACTGGTCATAAGTCGAGGATTACCTGTATGAGAGTTTCTCTCATAATTAAACAAGAGACTTTGGGTAAAATTTTAGGAAAAGTATGGAATGGACTTATCTAATAAAGTAATTTGAAAATCTAAAAAACATTACCATTTATTTTAAGATGTCCTTAAACAGAAAATAGACCATCCACTTCATTAGACATGTCAAACACAAGGCCTGGGGGCCGGATGCAGCCTGCGAAGTTGTTTCATGTGGCCCATGAAGTCATCCTGGAAACAGTGAGGGAACGGCCCCCACTGCCTTGGCCCTGGCCCAGGCCAGCTGGGAGCCAATGTACAGTCTTAGCTCCACAAGGCCGTCTGGAAACGGCTTGGTGCCGCAGGTGCTCGAGCGCCAGGCTGGGTGTTTGACCTCTGCTGCTCAGGGCTTCGGGCAGCCCGTGCCACTATCCAGCCCCCCACGCATGGCCTGGGAGGAACAGTGAGGCTCTTCCATTGGACCATGCTTTGGCACTTGCCCTGGTCCCACCCCCTTCTGCCAGAGACCCTCAAATCTGTCCCACTCCTGCCCAGGCCCCCACAGGCACCCTTGACGCGAACGATGTAGAGCTGGCCATGCCCACCTATTAGGCCACATCCACTCTATCCATGCCCACCCAGTAGGCCGCACTCACCCTGGCCACATCGACCCGGCCCCCCAAGGGCAACCGCAATGCTGATGTGGCCCTCAATGAAATTGAGTTTGACACCCCTGCACTTCATTAACATCAAATTTTAGTATTATGCTACAAAAAAAAGAAAGAAATTGATGTTTAATTTCCTATCTTTTCTCTGTATTCTAACTGCAGCCCAAGATCACATGGATGAAAAATAAAATCATTATAGTGAATGACCCACGTTACAGAATGTTTAGTAACCAGGGTGTTTGCACACTGGAGATCCGGAAACCCAGCCCCTATGATGGTGGCACATATACTTGCAGGGCTATCAACAGTCTTGGTGAGGCTGAAGTTGAATCCAAATTGGAAGTCAGAGGTAAGATGGTCTCTGTTGGTGGAGTAACTTTCTTCAGTAGAAAAAAATAGCTTGGAAGAAGATGCCTTCCTTATATGATGACAATTTTTGCCTCTTTTGCTTTGCGAGGAAAACACATGTTAATAAATAAGTGAAGAATATCAAAAGAGTAAGTGATAGATTAATTCCATGGAAAGTAATAGCAATATTTGGATGAAATATTTATGTATACGGAGAGTATGCAACATGGTATTTTGAGTATCTTAAATACATCTGCACATCTATGATAAATTCATCTTCAGGATGTTTCCAGAGTAAGGTGATACATAAAGAAGATTAGTAACTGAATTACAATGTTCCATTTTTAACTTTAAAATAATCTGGTTACAAACTGATCTAACATAAGGAATAGATAAAGTATTACCTTCTTTCAGTAACCTCATACAAATACTCTGTAATGCACATTGTCCACAGAATCTTTTGGGACTGTCTAGCTTTTGTTTTCTATTTACTTCTGAATCTTAATTAGCTCCATAATTATAGTGTTATGATGTTGAAAATCTAATGTGGCATTCACTGCTCATATTATGCATCTGAATTAGTTAATGTATTGCTTTGGAATTTGTGTACTTTCTTTATCTTGCCCAAAGACTCAAGCAAGATAGAAGTCTTGTGCAATATAGTAGTTACATTTCCTGATTGTCCCAGTTTCTGTATTATCTATTTTTCTGCAGAGAAGGCATGATGTCATTTCAAGGAATTCACTCTTCCACTTCACATAATAGAACTACAACTCTCCAAATTCCTAGCAAGCATCACCAAAAAAGCTAACATGGGGAAAGCTGAGTTTGGATAAAACTGTTAGATAGTATTGTTAGAAAGCATAAGATTAGAAGGCTTATAAATTCTAAATTGCCATTATGACCTGTCATTCATAAACCTTTAAACTTATGCTTTTCACAAATCCAATATGTGATTGTTTCATTTCGATCCAGAAAAGAATGACACCCTAGAACATTCATAGTGTTTAGTGCAGACATGTCAAACACAAGGCCCAGGGGCCAGATGTGGCCCACAAAGTGGTTTCATGTGGCCCGCGAAGCCATCCTGGAAACAGTGAGGGAACGGCCCCTGCTGCCTTGGCCCTGGCCCAGGCCAGCCGGGAGCCAATGGTGGTGGCCATCTATGCTGAAATGCATTCAGTCTTAGCTCCGCAAGGCGGTCTGGAAACAGTGAGGAACCAGCCCCTGCTGCGTCGGCCCCACCCCCTGGGTGCATGCTGGGGAGGTGTCACCCTTTGTGAGAAATGAAGAAATGGACCATGCCTTGGCACTTGCCCCGGTCCCACCCCCTTCTGCCAGAGACCCTCAGATCTGTCCCACTCTTGCCCAGGCCCCCACAGGCACCCTTGACGCGAACGATGTAGAGCTGGCCATGCCCACCCAGTATATCCATGCCCACCCAGCAGGCCACACTCACCCTGGCCACATTCACCCAGCAACCTAAGGGCAACCGCAATGCTGATGTGGCCTTCAATGAAATTGAGTTTGACACCCCTGGTTTAGTATCTATGGCAATAGTAACCATGACTTATGTATTCCATTTCTGAGCATTGAGACATTTTAGAGGTGCAAGGGTTGATCCAGTTTCCTTGGAAAGAAACTACTGAAGGCTGACAGGTCCTAGCCAAATATAACAAAATTTCTTCTTCACATTGCAATTTTCATTCTTTATTATTTCCCTTCATTACCTAGAAATGGGAAGACTAAAAAGCCTCCATATTGAAAGCTTGGCTGCCAATTTTTTGCAATAATAAAGAGATGTCTGCTAAATATTTCACTACAGTTATCTTTGGGTTGTGGGGGTGGTTTTTTTGGTCTCTGTCTTCTTTCTCCCTTTTCCCCTTAATAGTTATTATCTGAAATCCAATACATTTTATTCACTGTGTGAATGATCATCTATCATTAGGGCAGTTCAGCCTGCTAAAGCGATTGGACATGTAGTCAAAGAGCCTTCCAAGCTATCAGTTAAATTTTCAATGACTTCAGAGTTATATCTATTGATGTCAGTGGGATTTACTTCTGAAGAAATATACATATACCAAGGAGTTGTACTCAGTGGCCTCAGTGGTCCTCTGTAAACCTATGAATTTCAATATAAGGCTTTCATATGAAGATACATTTCCAGATACTCAAAATCATATGATTTCATACAAACTTCTTTTGTTTAATTTATTTTAATGGGGGGATGGAGTGAAGATATCAAACACTGCAGGAGTAGAGAAAAGTAGTCAAGAACTTTAATGCAGAAGAATAGTGATTTATGGTCCTTTTGTGATAATAATAGCTAGGTCCCAATTTTGTTTTTCTATTTGCACTTCGATTCATAATTCCTTGTACATGGGGCACTCTGAAGTTAGAAGTTCTCATGTATCCACTATAGTTATCTGTAAATGGAATCAAAGAAATCTGATGTGTAAGGTCTTTGAATTTGCCTAAGCCCATGATACTACAGGAAAAAGTTTAGCCCTTTCCCCTGCATTTTTCCTGGATGAAAATTGCTTCTGAAGCAGTCAATATTTCTTGTCCTTTCTTGTTCAAAAACAAAGAATATCTTTTCCCATCCTGGCACCTTCTGGATGTGTAGGGATAATGCCTTCCAGATTCTTAGCCAGAATGGCAAAGCTTGGAAAAGCCAACTTACAATAACTATTTGCAGTTGTGTGAGAAATGATATTGGTTTACTGTAGATTTTGCCCATTGTTTAGTCTCTGTCCCAGCCCTGACTAAACTGGCACTGAGATATTCACCCTTTGAGATGCCAAACAGAATAAGCTCCAAGAAATTAATTATCCATAGTATTTATCCAATAAAGAAGATGAAAGACACTGAACATATTGATTCTTTATAATTAAAAAAAATGAGATGGGTAGTTTCTTTTATTTTCATCTTTTTCAAAGATTTGGCAGATGAAAGAAAAGATAAGTCAGATTAACTCAGGAATTTTCAAATGAACAAGTCACTTTGGATCACTCCCAAAGCTACAATTAATTATTCCCAAAAAAATTCTACAGACATCTGTAGAACTACCCTAGATTGTATATTCTGATTATGGTGCCCTAAGATATATTGATGCTTTAATATCACTCATTGCATTTTAATATTGGACAGAATCATTTTTTTTCTCTGTGTTGGAAGCTTGAAAGAACTACAACTGGTGTTGCAGTTCTGAAAGAAAAGAAGAAGCTTAATGTTGTTAAACAGTGATGGAATAGAATGTAAAAGGAAATTAAACATTGGTCAATAATTCTACAATTATATAACATGGAGAAATTTTGCCAGAAAAAACAACGTTCTTGGAGGAGCAGAAACTGGTGTTTAAAATCATATTCAACTGGACATTACCTTCCATTTTATTCCTTTCTTGTTATATAAAATGTGTTTGCATGATAAGTGTGTATTTCATACATGTTCTTTATCTTTGCACCATGGCATACTTATATGGCATGGGCAAAGAAGGTCAAATTAATCAAGACTATATAGTACCTAAAGTCTAGATTATAGTAGCTAAGGTTAACATTTCATTTATCAATAAATATAGTCTTATTTCCATGTTCTTTTAAAAAAATATATATTCTTAGTCAATATCAAATAGTTGTTTTCGATAAATATATCATAGATTAAAAAGTATTTCTAGATAGTTTATATTCAAAAGGGCAAAATTATGAAGAATAGAGCTGAATAAGTAATAGTCTCTCAGCAGAATCATATCATGAGTGTTTAAATTGTCAAGAATAAAAATGATAACATATAATTTAGTGGTACATTAAGAATGTCCACACACTTGGGAATAAGCTGTTAGACACCATGAAATTTATTATTGAGGAAATACAGGAATGCGTAGTAAATTTTATAAAGTGAATTATAACCTGTAATATGATGATTTAGTAGCTACTTATAATGTATTCTTAAGAAAATATTTTTCTCCTACAAAATGCATAGTTTAAAAGGCTAAAGCTTGTTAAATTATATCAGCCTTGTGCAAAAAGTATATACTGGAATGTTATCTTTATACAGTAATACTTGATAAATTTGCCTAGTAGTTATTCAACTAAAAATAGATATAGATAAAAATGGTTCAATGCTATGCATATGGCTTTTTCCTATTCTGAGAAACACTCTGGATATACTTGTGTGTGAGTGCCCGTGCGTGTACATATATCTATATCTATCATTTTAATTAAAATGTTTTAATTTAGTTTAACCTAATTTTTGTTTTAGTTCTAGATTAGTGACACAATTAGATTGGCTCTTTATCTCTCTTAGATTAGTGTGGCAGCCAATCATTTGTGTTTGTGCATAATTAATTAAGCTTCCTACCTTAATGATAATGCTGAAAGTGTGCTAGACCCCTTCATCTTTTGACTTTCCATTGTCTTCCTCATTCTCATTTTCTCTCTCTCTCTCATTTTTTCTCTCTCTGTCTCTCTCTCTCTGTGTCTCTCTCATGTTTTACATGACTAAGGAATTAAATCATCATCTTTTCATCACTGTGGTCATACTTTCACTCAATAGAGTCTGTACTTTTATGTTTAGGAAGTAAAGTGCTTACAACTTCTTTCTCTCTCTCTCTCCTGTAGTTACACAGTAAGGATTTTTGAATGTATAATGTCATCTAAGGTAAGCTTTCATATGGTCTCTGCATATGAAGCTTATTTCTGTTGTCATGTCATACAAAACCTACCAAAGTATGGCATAATTTTCATTATGTCATTTAATGAAAATGGGGTAGTAAAATCAATGTAGCAACGGACTGACTATTTGTATTGTGTTCTTAATTAACAACTCTCGCTGAATCTGCTGAATAAATGCTTGTGATAGCAGCTCCCGCTATGATGCCAACACATACTAACAAGCTATAGAGGGGGTGATAAAGCATGAACCAGGTTAACAGCTTACTATACATAAATAAGCATAAATCCACAGCATTTGAACATCTAATGCCAGTTATTTGCCTCAAGGTTGAGGCAGCTAGGAAGTAATGCTATTTAATTATACCAAACTCTTACCTCCTTTTCTTGAAAATGTACACTGCAGCAACTTTAAGAAACTAGTTTAAAAGCATGCCAGATTTTGTGTGTCACAGCATAAAAAGGTGAAAGAAAGAAAGAAAGAAAGAAAGAAAGAAAGAAAGAAAGAAAGAAAGAAAGAAAGAAAACTTTGACAGCATATTTAATTGCTCTAAGCTAAATCAAGTAGTTTTGTTTTAGCTGGGTTGTGCACATAATTGTCATTTGCATTTTTATTTGCTTGAATGTGCAAAATATGTATCTCTGTGACAGTAAATCATAAAATATAATCCATAGAGTTTTGAAAGAGTTTTGCATTTGAGTTTAATGGTACAAACATTCAAAGGTAAGTTCTTTATAAAAGGGCATGTTTTTTTTCTCTCTCTCTCTCTAGCCAAGGCTGTCTTTAAAAAAGCATCTCAGTGTTTGTTTTTTAACTATTGTTACTTCATTGAATCTCAACAAGCTAAGGTAACTTTTTGGGAATTTAGACGATTAGAAAGGCTTAGAACCGTGTACAGAATTCTCATGATACCAACATTGCTAAACAATCCAAAAAAAGAGCATGAAGTCACTATATTGCACTGGTTTGGCACCTTATGCATATTCTTACATTATTGGTCTGGTAGGTTATATTAACTCCCACTGCAACATTATAATATCAGTCATTCCCATCTAGATAGCTTGGTTTCAATCAGTGACAAATGTGTAGTGTGGTGAAGATATTGATAAGGAGATCATTGTATGCAGTAATTTCATACTCAGGGGCACACATGAAAAGAAGGAGGTCATCAGCATCAAAATGGCTGGCACAGATGGGCAATCAAAATCCCACCTCTTTTTATGTGTGTATGGTGCATGTGATGCATGTTAAAAAGGACTGGGGCTTTGACTGCCCAGTTGCACCAGCCAGTTTGATGATGTTGACCCTCCCCTAATTATAGCTCAGTGTAACACGGTTACTGGGAATGTGGTAGCAAAAACAATCACATGGTTAAAATGTAATAAAAGCTTAATATCATTGTTTACAGAAGAAAAGTGTTGGGTTCCCCTTGGTATTTTCCTTTTGAATATTTTTGATGCTGTAACAGATATTATTTTGGATGACTTTCACTATGTGGACCCCCAGCATCCTGCTGAGTCTCCTTTCTTCTCCTTCTCCCACTTCTTTATTCCAATAATTAGAATATGGATAGGCAACTTCACTTCAAAGCTTCTTCACCATATTTGGCTTGGAGAATTTATGAAGACTCACATTATGAGTCTTTGATGGGTATTGACAACTTTACAGCCACAACAAGAATAACTTGTCATTTTTGGCAGCAACTTCATGCTGGATCCATCAAATCCCCATCCATTGGACAGTGAAAATGGTCACTGGAACATAGAATTCCTGACCTATCATTCTTGGGAGAATTTATTTCATTCACACGCAAAGAAAAAAAAGTGGCAACCGGAGAGCAATCCTGTCTAAAAATTCTAAATCTATTTACACTAAAGGAAGCTCTGTTAAAAGATGGCATATTTCTCCTTTTGTAATTGCACAAATTTGCGCAGGTATAAAGATCAAGTCTATCTTTTGGTTGTTTTCATAATTGTTTTGTCCTCAGGTGGTCTTTCGTTCTTCCGACTACTACTACAAGGGGTACCTCCGCATATTGCCCAGTCCTATATGAAAGAAATAGAAGCAAGCAAGTTTGGAAAAAAATAAATTCTGGCCCCAGTGCTTCTCTGCTTCTGCACCAGAAACTGCTAGCTACTCCACAGCCTCTCATTTCTACCGTGATCCTCCTAAATCATATATTGCCCCTTCCGTCTTGCTCCTGTTGCTGGTGGAAAGAAAAACTCACGCATGGATTGCTTTTTTTTTTTTTTTTTGAAGTTTAATGAAATAAGCTGATGCTTACCTGCATTTTGTATCATTGTGTATTTCTGTTTCCTTCTCTTTGCCCTCTCTTTTTTAATGCAAAAAAAAAAAAGACAAGCTAAAGAAATATGCATGAGAGCTCATTTATAGTTTCTAATTTATATGGCTAGATACTTTTTTTGTGAAACGTAGATGCTGCCATACCCAATAACAATGCAATCAAAACATACCTCTTTTGATAACCAAATAACAAATTATAGGTGGACATGTTTCCTGTGTACACGATTTACAGCAGTTAACCATTAATTGAGCTGAATGCATCTCAATTTAAAAGAGTTTTTTTTTCTCTGTTGTTCATTTGTAAATCCCATTTCTTTGAGCTACTACAGGGGATTTTTTTTTGGTGATGTACAATAAAGCTGAAGTGTTTATGACCTAGTCACATATTTGGGGTTCTTATGCTTATTTTATGTTACACTATCACTGTTATTTTGTTTTCATCATGTCTTGGCTTTTTGTTTGCAGTTACAAACACTGGATTATGGGCTGGGATGTAGATACACTCACATATATTCTTATCCATTACATTAGTCCATTTGGGGGTAAGCACTGTTGTATAAAGCACATAAGAAAGAAAAATTAAAGGCATCATATTAGAAAAAGAAATATCATATAAGTGAATCTAGTTTGCGCCAACTCTATTCATTATACCACTTCATACATCTTTTGCAAATTTTATCCAAACACAACTTTCTTAGTCTTCTCCTCTCAATACATTCAGTCTTTCCTCATACACTTGTTTGGTGAGTCAGGGCTCACTCTCTCCATGAACACATTTCCTCATCTTCCTGGCCACAAATTTTTGTATCATTTATTCAGCTCTTATTCTTTCTTGTCTTGTTCGCTATACATACTACTTAAGTACCCACTGCATTCAACTTTTGTGTTTTTACACCATGGCAAACTCTCATTTTCATACAATAAAGTGTACAGAAGCTCACTATGGGCAATTTCACTTCTTTACACAAACCTGTAATAATACCTGACAGTACTGATCAATTTAGGCATATTTTGGCCCAAACCTAGTTTTATTCCAAGCATATTCACATTATTCTATTTAAGGCAAGGTCTCAAATAGAATAGAATAGAATAGAATAGAATAGAATAGAATAGAATAGAATAGAATAGAATAGAAAGGGACCTTGGAGGTCTTCTAGTCCAGCTCCCTGCTCAAGCAGGAGATCCTTATACCATTTCAGACAAATGACTGTCCAGTCTCTTCTTAAAAATCTCCAGTGATAGAGTGCCCACGATTTCTGGAGGCAAGCTGTTCCACTGGTTAATTGTCCTCACTACTGGAACCTTTTCCTTAATTCCAGATTGCTTCTTTCTTTGATCAGTTTCCAACCATTGTTTCTTGTCTTGCCCTCTGGTGCTTTGGAGAATAGCTTGGCCCTCTCTTCTTTGTGGCAGCCCCTCAAATATGGGAACTACCTTCCAAGCTAACATTGTTTCCTATATCCCACCGACTAGTAGGTATATGCAGTGTATATACCACAGTGCTAGGCAAGAGACATAATTTCAGAATGTACCTGGAAGTTTGGAACAGAGTACTATATAACTATGTAGTATCTGAAGCCTGATGGAGGCCTCAGACACAACCTGTTTCCCATTTGTTATACTTCTCTTACGTCAGTCCCCAGGAAGATCAAAACCATTTCACAGATTCTTAATGAGACTCTGCCTACTTACCTAACAACCCTATTCAGATTAGATGAGAAATTAAACCACCCTGGAGGACAAATACATGGTTTCTCCTAACCAACTTGCTCAGAGGGAAGCAGCTATTTGGATAAGCAGTAAAATATTTCAAATTAAAAAGATAAGTCCATATGCCATGACTCAATTTCCAAATAACTCCACCTGGATGACTGAGAATCTTCATTGACAGATTAATACAGTATATGTAAGACACATATTGACAATTTCTAGCACAACAGCTTATACATATTAATGGAGTTACCAACAATTACTTCTTTTGAAGCATTTCATGTAGAGTTATCACCTATTCACATAATTCCAAGCATGTTTTATACAAAAATACCAGTGGAATTAAGCTCAGTGGAATTTCTTGATTTCAAGGCTTAAGGCTGTATGCATAGTAATTGTTTTAATGTATTAGTAATTACATCTGGAATTTAAAATAATATAGGAGTGCCTAAAAGACACACCACAACCCTTTAGGTCAATGGATACAAAACCAACTTTAATTCTTCACTTTATGAATGGTTACTGCAAGCTCATACGGTACCTTCTGAACTCGAATGCAGTATTTTGAAGGAAAGTTATGCTGATTGACTTCTTTATTTTCTGTCAAACAGGCCGAGGCAGAGGAACGATAGTCAAACCTCACATGCAAGGCTATTAGGCCTAAGCAGATCAAAATGTATTTGAATTTTTTGTATTATGGCTATCAAGTAATGGTTGCGTGAATTTTTGCTGCCCAGATCTGATAATCTTAGTATGTATAGCTGATTCAGACTTCAGAGAATGCTCTCTAAGTATCCTCTGAAATATGTTTTGCATATGCATTGTTCAAAGTAATAAAATTTCCCTCTTCTTCAGGAAAAACAGATGTTTAGGAGCACTTTTCTGCAAAAATATACACAAAGAACACGGACATCCTAGAATGTTATAGTTCAGGACAACATGGACATACAAAACACCCAGCTCAGGGGACTTGCTTACAGCAGGAGTTTCAAAGACGTAAACATGATACAACTGAAAAGTGCTTTATTGCAGATAAGAAAAGGCCACTTATACACAAATATTCTGCCCTGTGCAGAACACAGAAATCAAATTTTCTAATATGTATGTTCCAGGATTTAAATACCAGGGGTGTTTAAATCAATGGCCTTCTGGTCATTCTTTTCCCAGCCAAATCTCTTAAACATAGACATCTGTTCAATGTTTATATATTGTTCTGTCTAGAGTTTGGACAGGTAATTCATTGGTTACACCTCACTCAGTTTTATAATCATCAGAGATGCTGTGCACCATCCCCCAGTACAGTAGCATTTCACAAGTAATTCAGGTACCTTCTACTGTATATTCTGTATTTAAAAATCAGACATAAAAACAGGCGAAAGAAAACAAAGATTTTTGAGAAGGCAAAAAAGCTTAGAGATGGATTGGAGCTGATGTTGTAGGTATTGTCAGTGGAGTAACCATCAGAATCATGAGAATTTAGAAGCAGAGATGAGTGATTAATATCCTTACTGATTAAAGTTCTCCAGAAGCAGCAATACAGATGGATAATTATCTTTAGCATTTATTCTATACTTTCTCTTATATGTGACAAGTTTCCGAAGTTTCCTACCATTTATATACAAGTGCAGCAACTCTGTACATTAAAACATACGAACACAAATCAAAACTCTGATTATGAAATGTACATAATAATGCTTAATTCAAGCTGTTATAATCACAGTATTAGATGTAGAAAAAGGATTAAATAGAGAAATTACTTCCTAATGTGCCTGGGTCAACTATTTTCCAATGCAAGGCTTATATTGAAAAGTTGTGGAAAATCAGCTGCCAGAAAAGCCAACACAGTGCTAGGCTACATTAACAGAGGGATAGAATCAAGATCACGTGAAGTGTTAATACCACTGGTAAGGCCACACTTGGAATACTGCATCCAGTTTTGGTCACCACGATGTAAAAAAGATATTGAGACTCTAGAAAGGGTACAGAGAAGAGCAACAAAGATTATTAGGGGACTGGAGGCTAAAACATACAAGGAACGGTTGCTGGAATTGGATATGTCTAGTTTAATGAAGAAAAGGATGAGGGCGGACATGATACCAGTGTTCCAATATCTCAAGGGCTGCCACAAAGAAGAGGAAGTCAAGCTATTTTCCAAAGCGCCTGAAGGCAGGACAAGAAGCAATGGATGGAAACTAACCAAAGAGAGAAGCAACCTAGAACTAAGGAGAAACTTCCTGACAGTTAGAACAATTAGCCAGTGGAACAACCTGCCTCCAGAAGTGGTGAATGCTCCAACACTGGAAGTTTTTAAGAAGAAACTGGACAGCCATTTGTCCAAAATGGTATAGGGTTACCTGCCTGAGCAGGTGGTTGGACTTGATGACCTCCAAGGTCCCTTCCCACTTTCCACTTTATGGATCATCGCACAGTCAGCCAGATGTTCAGACTGGATTTGGCATTTTGTCTACCTATTGAGTCCTTACCAAGAACCTGGGATAGGCAGATGTGGATGTTTGATGGTATTACAGATATCATCGCAAGATGGAAGCAGTTCCTAGTAAGGCCGCCTTTTGCTATTGACTAATGGCAAATTTGTCAATGCCAATGGTGTTCAAGTGGTGCTCCAGTTGTTCTGGGATTGCACCCAAGGCGCCTATTACTATTGGTGGTATTATTATTATAATATACAGGCAAGACAAACATGTTGATATCAGCCTTCCTTCAGCTTTGTGCTTTCTAGATATCCTATAATTGCTAATCTGCATGGGCAATGATCCAGGATGGAGGCAAGAGAAAGCTGCTATCACAAACGTGAGCACAGTTTAGTACCATGCACACTCTTCTATGTTAAAATATGGTTGTGGTTCAGTGTACTGTTCATATCCAAGTAACTGGGTTCAATTTTTTTTTAAAAAAAGTGGTTTGATTAACGACATATTATGTGACTGCAGCCAAAATTATAGCATACAACGTTTGTCTGTGCATCAACCCCCAGTACAGTCGATATAGGTTTGTCTGTGCATGGAAATGTTCCTACATGGCGATCGCTGAATTGGCGAGACCTGCATAGTCCTGATTTGCTTAACCTTGGTTTGCTCAAACTAATCTTCTGAATTTGCCCAGTGAGCTAATTCACACAGCACAGATAAATAAAGACGAAACGCAGCCTTCGGCATCACCTCAGAATCAACGCTGGCCTGATGCTCACCGACTGCCTGAGGATGACCCCACCTTCTCCAGACCAGACGAGGGGCGAAGAAGAAACGGAAATAGCGGATTCCTCCAATTGCCTGCACTAGCTCGACGGCGAAGGAAAGGCAGCTGTTGGCAAAAAACAAGTCCGCAGGAGAGAATAGACCACTAGAATAATAACTTTATTGTCACTTTAAATGTACACTAATCAGCACATATTAAAATATGATTTCGTTGCATACAGGGTAAGCACCTCCAATATACACTGCATAAATCTGACCCCCAAAAAATGTGCATATACTCACATACACACACACACGTGACCCAGAGAAACAACAGTCTAGTTCGGATGTATACATATACATGGCGAGAAAAAGGAATCTTGCGAGTTTACCAGACGAGTGACATAAGGAACAAAACTGTTACAGAATCGGGTAGTCTGGTAATCTAGTAGTCTAGAGAGGGACGGATCCGAGTCCCCAAACCGCACCCGGGACTGGGCGGCCGCAGCTCCCAGCCTGCCACTTCCTGCCCGCCTCCAGCCAGGCCAGCGGGCTTCCCCGCCCCCGGCTCCTCCCGTTGCCGCTGCGCGGGTGCTGCCTCTCGGAACTAGCTCGGGCCAGTGGGAAGGCGCCATGGCGCTGCTGGAGCCGCTAAGCGCAGCGCAGCTGAAGCGCCTGGAAGAGCACAGGTACAACGCGTCCGGGCGCTCGCTGCTGGAGCCGCCGCTGCAGCATTACTGGGTTTGGCTGGTGGAGCGCACGCCGCTCTGGCTGGCCCCCAACGCCATCACGCTCGTCGGCCTGGCCTTCACCCTCGTCCCTTCGCTGATTCTCATGTACTACTGCCCTAGCGCCACCGAAGAGGTACGGTAGTCCACGCCGGGGAGACTCGCCTCCGCCGTCGCCCTTGTGGATGCGCGCTTCCCCTGGTTTCGCTTTAGCGCTCTCCCGCTATGGGGCATTGCGGAAGGCGGAGGGTCAGGTTGCCGGGAAAGAGAAAAGGTTGGGCCGCCCTGGAGTTCAAATTCCAGGGGTTCGCCCTGTCCAGCCTATTCAGCAGATACTCAGACTGATCGACAGCAGTGTTAAGATCTTAGCGTACTTAGGATATACTCTTTAACTCGTCTCGTGTGAACTGCCCGGTAAGCTTTCACGGAGTCTTGCAGTTCTTTGCCGTGCACACTTTCCGTAAGAGAAGCTCCCCTCCGCTCAGGGGAAGAAGGGACTTATTGTTGGCCAATCCTGCAGCCTTGTGGTTAGAAATATGATGGGCTGTGGAGTCCAGTGTGTGCAGATTGTGCTGAGAAAGGTCTGTGTTGGCTGTCATAATTTTTTTTTAAAGAAAATATTTGAGTCATGTTGGAATTTGGGGAAAACGAAGTAGCTCAATCACAGAGTTTGTGTAGGTGTGCATTTATTTAATGGTTAGACTTACACCATGCCTTTCCTGTGCTAAGGCATTTAGGATTGGCACTTTGGATTAGACTGGTGATCCTTGACCAGAGTCACAGTATGTACGTTTTGAGCTGTTCTAGTAGAAGCTAGGAAAGGGCTGATTTTAGACATTTTTGCCTCTCTGAAAGAGAAATGTTTTTCATTTATAAAACAAGTTTGTATTTGCATAATACACACAAAGATACAATTTTCTTTTTGTGGAGTTTCACTGCTGATGACTCCATAGATATATTAACTTCTCAACAACAATAAGTAAGTGGCAGCCTCCTTTTTAAAGTTCCCAGTCGACTTTCCTTGCTTCTGGGAGTTTCTGATAGTCTGTATCTGAGGACTGCCAGGTTTGACCCTGCATGATTTTTCAAGATTGACTACTAGATCATAGTCCATGATGCATATTATTATCAGCCCAATTTGCTGCAGAATGAAGGCCTCTTCACTGAAGATGATTTATTTTATGAGCTCAGTTTCCATAACTGCCCATCTCATCCAAGTGACTCTTTATGGTTTGTAATGTACCATGCTAGTCAACTTTGGATTGGTAAATAGATATTATTTAACTTTCCTGTCTTGGCTCAGAAACAATGACTGGCCCAAAGGCATTCAGCTGGTTCCTGTTCCTAAGGGAGGACTAGAACAGGATCTCCTTGCTCATGTTTTTTTAGTAAGATAGAGAAACTGTAGACCAGGTTATTAGCTGTAGTCTTAATGAGTGCCTTATCGCTGGTTTTGTAACCTACTTTAAGATACAATGTGCTGAAGACAAAGTAGTGATTAAGGGGAATGTCATAACAGATGATCAAGGCCACTCTGTCCTTATTATACTTATTAGATGAGAATGGCAGAACAGCTTGTTTCTGTATATTTGTTTCAGGCTCCTCCTTGGGTGTTCCTCTTTTGTGCATTAGGAATCTTTATTTACCAATCTCTGGATGCGATTGATGGAAAGCAAGCCAGAAGAACAAATAGTAGTTCTCCTTTGGGAGAATTGTTTGACCATGGCTGTGATTCTATTTCAACAGGTAACTTTTTAATTAGTTTAGGCTTGCATCATGTACTGATAGAGTTGGAAGGAGGTCTTTTAGTCTAACCCCTGTAGACTAACCCATGCAGTCCCCTCCTCTAGTCAAAATATAGGGTTGCTTCTCTCTGTGAATTCAATCCATGCCTTTCTAGACAACTTGCCATAGTTCAACAGACCCCACTCTCAAGTTCATCCTACAATCCTTCAGATGGAAATGAAGCCACCTTAACACTAGGCCTGTAAATTGCTTCCAGTCTAAAGGGGAAATGTGCTTTGATGCATGTGGGCATGTAATAACTTTTTGCAATTCTTTAAATCATTAAGTGACTTTTTCCTACATCTAATGGCAACTCCAGAGGGCTGTCGTGTGTCCTGGGGGGGAGTCATTTTTGAGTTTCTACTTGCTATCTTGAGTACCCTTGCATACTCCATATCCAGAGGGCTGAAACAAGTGTCACCATGCAGAGCAGCCCAGGAAAGAAGTCCTTCCATCCTGTAGAACAAACATTCTTTCTGGGCAACCAAAGCAATTTCTGTCGAACATTTTCATCTAAAACCAGACTGAAATTTGTCTTTCAAAAGGTAAAGGTAAATCTTTCCCTTGTCCAGTCGTGTCTGACTCTTGGGTGCGGTGCTCATCTCTATTTCTTAGTCAAGCATTGTCCAAAGACACTTCCATGGTTATGTGGCCAGCATGTCTGGGTACACAGAACACTGTTACCTTCCCACTGAAGTGTTACCGATTTATCCACTTACATTTGGATGCTTTTGAACTGTTAGGTTGGTGGGAGCTGGAACAAGTAACAGGAGCTCATCCCATCATGCAGCACTCAGGCCTTGAACTTGGCTGTCAGCTTTCCAGTTAAGAAGCTCAGCTTCTTTAACTGCTGAGCCATCACACCCTTTGGTCTTTTAAATATTTAATTAATAGAATTGATCACAGGTAGGATATTTTTAAAAGGAAGAGCAATTTGAGAATGGAATCACTTATCCAAGAAGCCAGACGGCTATCTGTTTGGCATACTTTAAACTGGATTTCTACACAAAGTTGGAAGTTGGATTCAAGAGCCAAAATATTATCTTCTGGTTCTATAAACCAGCTCAACATATATGAAGTAAAATGAGTAGAAGCGAGGTGGTAATTTTTTAGATTAAATGAAGATCATATTAGCAACAATTCCTGGAATGGAGAGTATTATTTTTTATGGGCGCTCAGCTCATCAATATTTTTTTAAATACATGGTGTCTTTTATAAAGCAGGGGTAAGAAAACACATAGGTTTCCTAAGATGGGTGGAATTTACTAGTTAGTGTGGGGATTCTTTTTCCCACTTAGTATAGCTTCCATTTTACTTACCAATGAAAGGTAAGTACTGGTTATGCCCAAAGTCTTATTTTATCGATATTCTCCAAAACAGCTATGAAACCTAAATTAATTTGCCTTTTCAGTATTCGTTACTGTTGCAGCCTGCATTGCAGTTCGCTTGGGAACAAATCCAGATTGGCTCTTTTTCTGTCTCTTTATTGCGATATTCCTGTTTTACTGTGCTCACTGGCAAACCTATGTCTCCGGCATGCTCAGATTCAGCAAGTAAGTGAATGCCTGGATAACTGAATTTGCAACTTGTCTTAAGAAAAAATTACTGTCACCCTCAACTTGGACACCAGGTTTTTTTTTTCCTGAATCCTAGTAGGAAGTATGTTATTTGTGAATTCCATGCTGAGTTAATAGTACATCAAATGAGATGATAATACTTCACAAAGGAGTTTGAAAGCTAGGGAGGTTAGATGGGAAGGATCAAAAACTTTGCAGGAAAGGTTATAAGATACTAAAGATGAGTCAGAAACCTTAAACATCTGCTATTGCTTTCAGCTACTAAGATTGGGATGAAAAGGGGATGAAAAGAGTCCTGGGTAGCACAGTTGTTAGAATACAGCATTGCAGGATAACTCTGCCTGCAGTTCAATCCTGACAAACTCCAGGTTGACTCAGTTTTCATCCTTCTGAGGCCTGAAAGTGAAGAGCCAGATTGTAGGAGGCAATATGCTGACATTATAAACCACTCAGAGAGTGCTGTAAAGCACTATGGAGCAGTATATAAGTCTAAGTACTATTGCTATTGCTATTTTTTTTAATGGTTATCAGAGAGAAGTTCTCTTTCTGAAGCTATTGTCTGTTTTAAGGAGCTCTCTGGCTCGGATTTAATCCCGGTTTAGGTAGAAGACCATGAAAAGAGACAAAGTTTTACTGGTGTCCAGCAATTAGTATTTGGTCAGCAACAGGCAAATAGGTAGATGTGAAGTTTGGTTCACATATATCCCAAGTTATGATTTCTTAATTGCATCAGGATTAGTTGGATTTGTATCTTACTTTGGGTAGGAGGAGATAGTGATGCTTTATTTATATTTCAGCCATTATTTCTGCCAATTTATACATTGAATTAGGAAAATATAATTACAAGAAATAAAATAAATTATTAAGCTACTTTCATTATTAGTAGTAGTTCCCTGATGTTTACATTTATTTTAGAAAAATGTTTGAATAACCTTTGGCATATGAATCCCCATTCATTAAAAAAAGTCACTGGTATGAGTTAATTTCTTTTTTCTTTTTTTGTTCTAGAATTGATGTGACTGAATCTGAAATAGCTATAATAATGATGCTTTTATTATCCTCATTTGGTGGAACAAGAATGTGGGACACAAAGGTAAGTCAATATACCTACAGATTTAAATATATTTTCATATCTCTGAAACGTATTGATACTAAGTGATTCTAATTCTTTGCATTTTGTTGAACGTTGATTTTTCCTACTTTTAAATGTTTATTGTGAGATGCCTTTTTGCATTTGTAATGCGTTTTCCAGTGCATGAATTCAAAACTACGTAAAAGAAAAAGACTCCACATGTTATAATTAAAGTTTGTATTAAATTACTGCAATTATTTAAACATATGATGTTCCATAATACTC